TCAGCGCTTGCAGCGCAGCAATAGACTCTGTGCAGAAACGATCTCTGCACTGCTGCAGACGCACCGCTCCTGAACGCACTGCCGCACCGTGTGCAGTGTGCACACTTTATTAATCTGCAAAATATGCACCACGTGTGCACTGCAAACGAAGTAATGTGAACCTGGCGTTATGTGTGTGTGCACGAGTGCTCATTCTCCAGGAGAGCGCGCGAGCGCTGAATGGTTAAACGCTGGCAAGAATTAAAAAGAAATGCAATTTATCAACTTTAGTGACGATGTGACACTGCCTCGATTGTGCAAGTGACAATTCCTGTGTAAACTGTGCAGCTCGCTTATAGACAGACGCGATGTGTGGTGATTTGAAGCCATTTGCGTATTTTGAGAAAGAGAGAGCGCGCGGTGATTCACTCACGCTGTTTGTGAAATTACGTCTCACACAAGTTATTTAATGAAGAAATATGAAGGTGAGTACCTCACCTTCAGCATTATAATTATTTTACTCGCGCCGGACAGAGACTGAGACTGAGACGGTGACGCTGCATGTCGTGCCAAAGCTCTCACGGCAGCGTCATGTCCACCCTGTGACAGATCGTTTTTTTGAGACCGGCCTTTTTAGAGACCGCCGATCAATCATCCCAACGTGATTATCGGCCGATAGTGATCGGTAGCCGATCAATCGGAGCACCCCTAGATATTACTAAGTATGAAGTAAAATTTTATTTTGATCCTGGAGGGAGAACTGTGCTTAATTGTCATGAAAAGTCGCATTGTAAAAAAATTAAATTAAATTTAATTTAATTAAAAAATAAAATAGGTTTCTTTTTCCTTTATTAAAATATTTATTTTGGGTTTTGAATTTTTTTTAATTGATTCAATGAGTTTTTTTTTTTATGTTTTCATTTTCATTTTAGTTAGTTTATTTTGTTGTGTCTTTGTCATTTTTATTAGTTTTTGGATTTTTTTATATATATTGTATCTATTGTTTTTACTCATTTCTATTTCAATTTTAGTTATTTTAGTATAGGCCTATAAAGTTAAACTAAATTAAAAAGTGTTGCCTTAAAACATAAAACCTTTATTTCAGCTATTTGCTATTTCAAGTAACTTTTTTTGTTTTTAATTTTAGTTTCAGTTTAAGTGAACTAGAATAACCCTGGTTCTTAAGAAGTTTTGTGAGATTCATCAATTAATAAAAAGACAGTATGTTTAAAAAGCCTCAAATGATAAGATTTGAGTCTACATGTGTACATTTATCACCTTCATCCGGGGCTAAAAAACAGCAGTGCTTTAATTCAGGGCCCCATTGTGCAGCGTCTGAATCCTGAACGTTCCTCGCCGTGGAGGCCTTTTTCCCAGCACACAAAGGCAAATTAAAGCAGATATATTAAGCAGCAGAGAGAGGCCCTTTCAGAGCCCGTCTGCGTCCAACAGTTTGTGCCCAGCTTTTATGAGGCTCACCGGGTGAAGCCAAAAGCCATATGTGTTGACTGTGAAACACGGTAGACTTTAATAATATGCATTTATTGTGTAATTACTACATTTTCGTGTCAATCCATGTTCATATATTTACTGCAAACAATGCGCTGTTACTTTAATTCAGGCTTGCAGCGCAGCAATAGACTCTGTGCAGAAACGATCTCTGCACTGCTGCAGACGCACCGCTCCTGAACGCACTGCCGCACCGTGTGCAGTGTGCACACTTTATTAATCTGCAAAATATGCACCACGTGTGCACTGCAAACGAAGTAATGTGAACCTGGCGTTATGTGTGTGTGCACGAGTGCTCATTCTCCAGGAGAGCGCGCGAGCGCTGAATGGTTAAACGCTGGCAAGAATTAAAAAGAAATGCAATTTATCAACTTTAGTGACGATGTGACACTGCCTCGATTGTGCAAGTGACAATTCCTGTGTAAACTGTGCAGCTCGCTTATAGACAGACGCGATGTGTGGTGATTTGAAGCCATTTGCGTATTTTGAGAAAGAGAGAGCGCGCGGTGATTCACTCACGCTGTTTGTGAAATTACGTCTCACACAAGTTATTTAATGAAGAAATATGAAGGTGAGTACCTCACCTTCAGCATTATAATTATTTTACTCGCGCCGGACAGAGACTGAGACTGAGACGGT